GGGGAGAAATGGAAGCATACTAATATAAAATTCTTTTGCTACATGTGAAGTGTAATAGTATCACTTGGAGGTAAACTGGTAAGTTAAAGATACTTACTACAAACCTTGAAGCAAACACATACACACACACACACACACACACACACACACACACACACACACAAAGTTACAGTTGATAAGCCAACAAAAGGGGGAAAGAGTAGAATCATAAAAAACTGTCAGTCAATTTAAAAGAAGCTATAAGAGGAAATAAGGAATAGACAGACAGACAAAAAAGCAAATAGCAAAGTGGTGGGTATAAACTGAACCATATCAATATTCACATCATCTGTAAGTGGTCTAACACGCCAACTAAAAGGCAGACATATAACAGGAAGTCTCAGTTGTAAGTTGCCTACAAAATGTACTTTCTTGTATATAAAGATCAGTTAAAGGTAAAAGGATGGAAAAAGTTATACTGCGGTAATACTAACCTAAAGAAAACTGGAGCAACTGTGTTACTATCAGATAAAGTAAATTTCAGAATAAAGACTATTATAAGGGATAAAGATTCTATTTTATCATGATAAGGCATCAATTAGTCAAGAGAACATAATGATCCTAAATGTTTATGCACCTAACAACACAGCCTCAAAATACATGAAATCAAAACTATAGAACTGCAAGGATCTATATGATTTATCTGTTTGATAAAATTGCAGTTATTATGGGAGATTTCAATATTCCTCTCTCAATAATTGATGGAACAAGCATAAAGAAAATCAGTAAGAATATAGAATAAAGGAAAAAATTAGTTGAGCATCATTGAAATGAAAAACTTTTGCTTTTTTTAAATTTTCATGTTTTTTAGGGGGAGGCAATTATATATGTATGTATGTATTTGATGGAAGTACTGGGGATTGAACCTAGGACCTAGTGCATGCTAAGCACTGAGCTATACCCTCCCCTAACTTCTGCTTTTTAAAATATACTGTTAAGGAAATGAAAAGGCAAGCCACAGACTTGGAGAAAATATTTGTAAAACCAATATCCAACAAGGGATTTGTATCTAGAGTAATAATGACTAAAAAAGAACCGAACTTACCACTCAGTAATAAGACATGCAACCCAATTAAAAGTGGGCAAATGATTTGAGCACACATTTCATAAAGGAAAATATATAGATGGCCAAGAAGTACCTTCTGTGAAATTCATCACCAGTCTTTGGTGAAATGCAGGTTAAAAGAGAGCATGATATACCCACTAAAATGACTAAAACTAAAAAGTTTTAGAGATTAAAAACCAAGTTTTTGGCTAGGATGTGGAAGAACTAGAACTCTTATAGGCTGCTAGTGGGAATGTTAAAAAGGGTTAAAAATGTACCACTTTGGAAGATGATTTGGCAATTTCTTAACAAGTTGAACATACACCTACCATTCAGTTCCGCCATTCCACTTGTAGGGAAATGAAAGTGTGTGTCCACGTACGAATACTCATAGCCTTACCTGTAGTGGTGCAAATGGGAAACGACCTTTTCCATAAGGAAGTGTTCTTTTTCTCTTCCTCTTCAAGCATTTTTATAGTTATTTCCACTAAGGCTCTTGTCTCATCATAATATGTTTAATGTCTAATCTTTCTTTTCTTTTGCCACCGCTGAAGATACCAGGTTTAGTCCTCCCCTTCTTGGTGCAGCAGATGGGAGTCAGGGAGGTAGTGGGTGGCTGGATTCTAGTCCTGGCTCGTGATGCTGTGGGCTGACCAATTGCTTTCTTGGTACTTCAGTGTTCTTATTGGCTGATTAAAGGGATTAAATGATTAAATAATATGCACACATGTATATTTCTGAGCACCCGCCATGTGCCCGGCACTCTTAGGTATCGGCAACATGATGAAGGAAATAGTATCCTCTGGAGCCAGTACTCATTAACCTGTAATGTGCCAGGAACTGTCCTAGGTTTGGGGAAGACTGGCCATTGTATCTTAATCTCAGGGAATTTATGAATTAGTAGGGAAGAGAGACCAACATAAGTAAACAGACAGAACTACAGTTGTAAAAAATGTTATGAAAGGAAAGCTGTGAGAGGAGATCCCTCTTTTATAGCAGGGCTGTCAGAGGAGGCCTCTTTGTGGAGGTGACATGAGCTGAGACCTAAGGAAAGAAGGAGAAAGGGGCTCCTGTTGGTCTCTGTCATCGTCTCTCCTCCCAGAAGTCTTGACTGAACATAAGACAGTGATTTGGTTTCTTCGACTGTAGACATCTCTGAACGAGAGCAGTTTCATGGAGCCATCTGTTCTGTACCTCACCCCTTTCTTCAGGGGGTTTCATTGTCTAGTTCAGGAAATATAGTGGCAATAAATTAAATGATTTAACTCTCCTTTCTGATGTTTAATCAAGATTTCTTTGGCCTATAATTCGAAAGGGAGTGAGAAACAAACAGGATAAAGTGAAGGTTTGTGCTCTGGTAAGCCCAAGGCAGAGGTTTCAGGTGGGGGTCAAGCAGGCGAAGCTGGACTCCGTACAGGTTGCCTTTGGCCAACAGGTTTTATTTTATTTTGTTTTATGTTATTTTATTTTCTTTTTTGAAGGTCTAGTTTTTTTTTTAATTGAAGTATAGTCAGTTCACAATGTTGTGTCAGTCTCTGGTGTACAGAGTAATGCTTCACTCATGCATACACATACATATATTCATTTTCATATTTTTTATTACAGTTTACTACAAGACATGCATATATTTCCCTATGCTATACAGAAGAAACTTGTATTATCTATGTTATATATAGCAGTTAGTATCTGCAGATCCTAAACTCCGAATTTATCCCTTCCCACCTCCTTCCCCCCATAACTGTAAGTTTGTTTTCTGTGTCTGTGAGTCTGTTTCTGTTTTGTAAATAAGTTAATTTGTGTCTTTTTTTTTAAGATTCCACGTATGAGTGATATCATATGGTATTTTTCTTACTCTTTCTGGCTCACTTCGCTTAGAATGACAATCTCCAAGTTCACCCATGTTGCTGCAAATTGGCCTACCGTATTTTTTTTTTTCTGGTCCAATTCATACCACTTTTTTTTTAACCTTTATTATTGACTTATAATAATTTTACAATGTTGTGTCAAATTCCAGTGTAGAGCACACTTTTTTCAGTTATACATGAACGTATATATATGCATTGTCACGTTTTTTTCGCTGTGAGCTACCATAAGATCTTGTGTATATTTCCCTGTGCTATCCAGTATAATCTTGTTTATCTATTCTACAATTTTGAAATCCCAGTCTGTCCCTTCCCACCCCCTGCCCCCTCGGCAACCACAAGTTTGTATTCTATATCTATGAATCTGTTTCTGTTTTGTATTTATGTTTTGTTTGTTTGTATGTACAGTATTTTAAAAGTCTGAAAAATTCACCTAAAACCCCCTGACTTTTAGCATTTCTGTTAAATCTTTAGGCCGCCAATTATAAGGGACTGGCTGCAGCCCCTTCTAATGAGCTGTTTGCTCATGCCTCACGGTCCCCTCCTGTTTGCCTGGCCTCACTCACTCCTGTTATCTGGTTGGCCTCCTGTGAATTTGTCTGAGAATCGTCTCAGCAGATTTTCGTTTTGTGTTTAAGCATGCCTGCCATCAGCCTGCTGTGAGTCTGATCTGATGCAGGGCTGGGTGATTCTAAAGCACGGCAGGTGAGACCGGAGCCCTGGCTGTGAACACACCTCTGTTACAGGATTCACAGGAGTGTGCACGCTTAGGAGTGGGGACTTGTCTAGGTGACTTCTTACCCTGTGCCTGGGATACCTGGTGATTGATAGTTTAAATGCTTGTATCAAAAATGAATAAATTATATTTTAATTTTGGTGTGTATTTGATCTCTAAAAGGCAAATGTACTTACATAGTTTTTCCTAATTCAGATATGTGGGTTTTTAAAGCTTTCTTTAGTAGATAACACATTCATCTTAAGATGAATGTGTTTTAAGATCAAAGTGTAAAAAGGAATACCATGAAAAGTCTCCTTCCCACTTCTGTTCTCGATCTGACCAGTGCACCATACCCCTTCCCATGGAAATGCAGGCAAATGCAAACATATATTCTTTTTTTATTTTTAATTTTTAATATATTTTAAAATTGTATTTATTTTTTATTTGCTTTTGTTGGTGGTTTTTTTCTTGTTTTGGGGGGAGGTAATTAGGTTTATTTATTTACTTACTTATTTTAATGGAGGTATGGGGGATTGAACCCAGGACCTCATGCATGCTAAGTACGTGCCCAGCTATACCCTCTTCCCTCAACAAACATATGTTCTTATTTTTCACCCTTTTTACTCAAAAAATGGCTTAACAAAAAATGATGTTGTTCTTTATGCCTTCTTTACTTTTGATGTAGATCTTGTATTAGTCAAGAGCTTCCTCCACTTCCTTTTTTGGTTGTCTTCCAGTTGAAAAGTATGTTTAATTGTTTGGGTATATTATAATTTATTTAGCAAATATCCCCATTGAAGGACATTTGGATATTTCCAGGTATTTGCTGTTGCAAACAGTGCTACAGTTAGTACCTTTGTACGTATGTCATTTCATACATACACACACGAGAGTGTGCAAAGTATATCTTGATAAATTCTCCACGTGGAATTGCTATGTCAAAGGGCATATGCATATGTAATTTTGATATGTATATATTAATCACCCTCTTTAGGGGTTGTAATTTAATTAATTATTAATCAAAACTACTACTAGCATTTGGAACACTGTTTTATAAAGAATTTTACTATTTGTTTCCTTCACCGAATTAGTTATATGCTAGGTTATCTGAATTTTGGTAAGACTAGTAAGATTTTCTAGATCATTGGTTTCCTCTACTGGCTAAAAACCCTCAAGAGGTTCTCAGAGTCATATGCTAACTGAATATCAACTATATAATAATATCTCAGACATGTATACTATATATTTCAAGTGTATGTCGATGCTGTTATATAATAAAATGCCAGTTCACTGTCGATTTGAATATTTTATAATAAAAATAATCTTCCTCTTACAGATATCCCTTTAAGGACCAGCCTGCCACCACCATTCAGAAATTACAAATATGGTAACTAGTTTTTCTTGTTTTATTAAAACATATATTAATATAATTTTACATTAATTTTATTTTGATATGAATTTAAATTTGGTTTTCAAAAATGAGTTTACTATCTGTAAATGAAAACCAATATGGAAGTTTATTTAGAAATAGGAATTCTACTGTATCGTTAAATTGTAATCTTGTAGGGAAGTGGCCTGTTGCTGGGGATTAGCATGTTTGGCAAACTATCTCTGAAAAAATTTCTTTGTCAGATAATCAGAAAAGGAGAAATGATTAGAGACTAGGAATTAAAAGAAGAGATTTAACATTTTAAATGGCTATATCATGAGCATGTAATAAAGCAATTTTATATGTTACAATTATTGATTTCAAAATGTAGTAATAATAAGGCAGGAAGCTGGGTTTCATTATTCATTATAAAGATGGTACAGTTATTAACTTCCCACGTGGTGACACTCATCAAGCTTTGAATGTGAGGCTTCTCTTGAGAATTACGATGCACCTAATAAATATTTCTGTTAATTGATGCAGACATTTTAAAGCATAAATTTTTTATTACCTTAGATCTTTTTTTTGGAGTGGCTTTTCATTCTACTGCCATTTGGAAGAGCAACTTATGACCTAAAATACTTTGAAATCACAGTCTTCACCGTGTGTCTGCATTTTAATATCCAGAGACTAATTCTGAGGTCATAAGGGGGAGTCAAGCAGAAGTTAAAGGCACTGAGTGGAAAGTACTTTGATTTATTGGACTTAAAGAATTTACATACTAAATATTGAATGCGAGAAAGGAATAAAAAGTGTGATTAAATAAATAGGAAACTTCTCAATTCTGGCTTTCATGGCCTTCAAAGTAGCCTGCCTTGAAATATAGCTTTAAACTTGGGTCAGCCTACAGGTGCCTCCAGATTAACACAGCTTCATACGGTCCCCCTATTGCATGGTGCATGTGTATTCACACTTTTGTTTCGTGTAAGTTATTTTGAAAGATAACTTTTAGATCATGAAATCATCAGACTGCCTGCCTGCTAATTGTCATGGTGGTAGGTAATGTGCGTCTTACAGTACTCCTCCTCCTTGACACCCTTTTGTCCTAGCATTTCTGTCCTGTTCAGAGGAATTGGCAGGGAAAACGAATACGTTTATCTGTGAAGAAATTAGACAACCACCGTGGTTCTAATAGATTTCAAGTGACTCTGTCTGCATCTGGCTCTTTAACAACCTGCAGCTTTGTGTTTGACAAGAAACGCTGAAGTGTTAACTGTCTCACTGCCATTGTCCCGCAGTATCACTGCACGCTCTGTGGGACTGAAACACTCAGGGTTTTGGGTAGGGATAAGGGCACCAAGTCAGATTTCATTTTTGTTATTTGCCATCTCTATGCCCTTGGACAAAGGCCCAGCTCTCTCTGCCAGACCGCCAGGAGTCTGAGATTTCTCAGAGCCTTGTCCCCTATGTAATCGGCATCTACATCTATTGTTGATTTTCCCTGACTGGACAGTGTCACAAAGCACAGGGGATGTTGTCTTATTTTTAAATCCTTATTGCCCTGGCATTGTGCATGTGTGCAGTGATGTTGGTTGCTGTGCAGTGTGGGATGGCTAATCCTGTTTGTGTTATAAGGCTGGGTGAGATTAGATTAAACAGTGCATGTGTGAGCACATTAAATACTCCACAAACAGAAGATCTCATTTTTATTTTTGTGAGATTGCTTTCCTCAAGGAATTTGCATTACCTATGGAGGTGGTTTCTCCTAATAATAAAGATTGTTTTTTTAAGGAGTGAAAAACAAGTGAAAGAGATGATTTAACAAAGAAAGTAACATTAAGACAACACCATTTGCTAGCTTGTCACTTCTCCTTCCTTACCCTCTTCCTAAGTCTTACCAGTTTCTTTGGGAGAGAAAAATCTGGTGAAAATTTATGTTCAAAGCATTTCTTTTTCTGCTAAAGAAATGTGGCCTTCTTATTGTGAGATTACAGATCCTATTAGAGCAAAGTTATTTCTAATTTAAAGACTTATTATCAGGGGGAGGGTATAGCTCAAGTGGTAGAGCACATGCTTAGCGTGCATAAGGCCCTGGGTTGAATCCCCAACATCTCTAAAAATAAAGAAATAAATAAACATAATTACCCCCCCCCAAAAAAAGACTTACTATCAAAATATATTGAACATGATTAACATTTAGTTAAGGTCAAACTACAGTTTTGCAGGTTGATTGTTTTGACTTTAAGTAAGGTCCTTTTGTTTTTTTTTTTAAAAAAAAACTACTATTGGCTTCTCTAACTTGCCTCTAGTAACAAAGTGATATCTATTTATAGCGAGAAAAAGAGTGTAATAGGTAAATCAGTATAACAGATAATTCAGGAGTCACATTTATTTGTTTTCTTGTGTACATTGTAAGCTTATTTTTAGCAATTGTGGCATATTTACACTGTAAATGTGTACATTTTCACTTAGGTTAGGTTTATTTTTATTTCTTGACAATACATAGCTTTCTAGGATTAGGCTAACCTTGTATTAAAAAACTGCAATAGGTAATTGAAAGTCGATTATTTTAAATAATGGGTGATTCATAGTGCTGGTTCTTAAGGTATAGGAACCCCGTTCTTCTGTGCTATTAGAACGTAGTTAAATCAAGGTCTTTTTTTTTTTTCAAATAGATCCTTTCATTTCACTGTTGAAATTCCTTGTTGAATCAAACAGCATGATTGATAGAAATGACTTTAAGGTTAGGAGTTTATTCAGGTATAATAATACATGTAATCATAATACATTAAACGGTTAAATAAAACTGAGTGGAGAATTGGAAACTTTTTGGATTTAAACCTGTTGAATGCTATGTCTGTTGTATAATTAAGAGCTGCTTATTGCAGAGTTAGAAATACCTCATGTAGAGAAATTACTTATTGGAAAAGCACAGTGTAGCCTGACTTCAAGATAAACAGATTAAGGAGTGAAGGCGGATTGAATAAAGCAGATTAGATGGTGTGAGCCTGTGCAGTGTTTGAAAACCAGAAGTCAGATCTTGGTATTCTTTGGGTATTAGCAGCTTTGCTCAGATTACCAGTGATTTTTGATAGTGTTTGAATTCTGAGATTGGTAACAATTTGTTGGTATGATCACTTGACCTCCTGTCACTGAATGTATTCTGAGAGATTAAATGTAGATTTTTTGGAACTGATTTTGTTAATGTTTGTCTTAATTTAAGGCAAACTTTTTTTTTTGCTTTATTTGTTATTTCTGGCATTTAGTGACTTCAACAAACAGGACAGAGTAATGTGATTCACTTGTCTTCTTTCTAAGGGAAAATGTGCTGATTTGACTTCAGGTTATGGTACAAATACAGTTGTGTCTGTCAAAGACCAAGGCTTTAAGATATCTTTATAAAGTGATCTTTAGTTCTAATGGTATTTTACTGTCTACTAGATTTTTAAGTGAACCTGATCATAAGCCAAGGACTTAAATTTCTCAGTTTTATAGCTGACACCCTCCCCCATCTCACTTTAATAATATGAAGTGAAGTTTTAGAATAATTTTGGTAAAAATACAACTTGTTTTTTTCTTTCAGATAAACTAAAGATTGTTCATCAAGCACATAAATCAAAGGTACGTTTCACAGTTACAGTACCCAGCACGTAGCAAGTAATCAGTTTTGGTTGACTTAGTGAGTCAGTGAATGAACACATGCACTTCTAAAATATTTTCCGTTGTAATAGCATTTTTTATTTTGTAAGTACCCTTTCTGCAGCCTTACTTTTCCATTATAGGGGGAAAAAAAAAACTTCTCAGTCATATTCCTGTTAATAGTAGATTCTTTAAAAAAACTTTATTTATAAAAAAGCATGCATGTTAATATAGCAAGCAAATGTTTAACATAAAATAAGCTTAAAACTTGGTAAAATAAATTCAGGTTACATATGAAGGAAGTCACATATTATCTGGCAATCCAGTTTCTTTGATTTTCTTAATTCTGTACCAGAAGAAGAGAACCGAAAGCAGATAAAAATTATCTGTCTTTTTCTGATTTGACTGTATGTGTAGAAGGGCCAAGACTGTGGCCCTTGGGAGCAGACCTACTAGTTTCACAGAGGACATAGCCTGCCACCCTCATGTCAGGTTGCCAGCCCCAAGGAGGACTGTTTAGTGATACGTTTATAGTATGTTTGCATTTCTGTTTTCTTACTTTTTTAGAGCAATGTTTGTGGCCACAAAGGTCTGCTTCTCCTACAGACAGGTCAGAGTGATCTTTTTTCTTGACTCTCAGTGACTTTGTATAGATTTTTTTTTTGAGGTATAGTCAGTTACAATATGTCAATTTCTGGTGTACAAGCACAATGTCCCAGTCATGCATATACATACATATATTCATTTTCATATTCTTTTTCAATAGAAGTTATTACAGGATATTGAATATAGTTCCATATGCTCAACAGAGGAAATTTTTAAATCTATTTTTATATATAGTGGCTAACATTTGCAAAAAATATGGAACGCTTCACAAATTTGCTTGTCATCCTTTCACAGGGGCCATGCTAGTCTTCTCTCTGCACCGTTCCAATTTTAGTCTATGTGCTGCCAAAGCGAGCACTAGACTTCTCATTAAAGCAGTAATCTTACTCTGTCATACAGACTACCCAAGGATAGGGGACTGTGTCCCATCTCCAATGCCTGGCACAGTGCCTCATTCACAGGAGCATTTCCATAACAATTTTTGAATGAAGTATTTATTTATGAACTTTATTTTTTTATACCAAAGATCACGTATATACATTTGACAATATCCATTGTCAAATGCTTTTAAAATTTCGTGTTTGTGTCTGGAGCTGTGGTGTGCAATCTGTACTTTGTATGGATGCTAGAATTGTATCTGGCCACAGACTCCATCCATTTTCTCTTCTCCAGGCCAGGAGTGTTTACAACCTTGTCCCTAAAATGTGGAGAGCAGGAAGCTTGGTCTTACTGCGGAAGGGGGAAAATACTTCATAAAATATTTAAAATATATAAAGTAAAGTGAAACAATATACTCCTTGAAAACGTGGTCATTCTCCAAGGTTGCATTTTTACATCAGTGAGCTTGTTTGTATGCTCATGGTTCCTAGAAGTAATAATAAGAAAATTATTCCTTTATTCTAATGAAGACCTAGTTCATAATATTCAAGTAATCAATATTATGACTTTTTTTTAAAATCAAGAAATTTTCCTCCTATAGTTGGAAATATCTTAGAATTGTTTCTAACATTTAAGACATAAATTCCATCTTGGCATGTTAGAGTTGTAAAATTAGGGCCTATTTTTCAGTTGAATAATGTATTTACTTTAAGAGGGATTCCCAAAACAAATTAAGTCACTTAAAATGTTTCTGGAATCTGGCTTTATAAACGTTCATCTAAACCTTAACAGTTCTGGTTCTCTATAACCCAGGGAAGATGATTCAAGTTTCCTCTTTAATTTTTATACGGAAAGGGTCAATATATTTTTACAGATACAATTTTAAAACTTAAAAATTTCACTCTCATGTTCTCATTTGTGCCTTTTCCAATCACCAGACATTTTTCTCATTTCTCTGTGTGCATTCATTTCCTCATCCACAGGGCCTGTAAGCATCACTGGCCCAACCTGTCAGTTTTCCAACCTGGCTGTAATGTTAGACTTCCAGTAACTCCTGTATCTTAATGAACTTGTTCACAAAAGGCATCTGCCCCATTTTCCCAATTTTCTAGGTTGAGAGACTTTCTTAATTAAAATTACCAGGTATTCATAGAAGTTTCTTGCCATCACCACAATAAAAAGGCTGCCTGGATAGCTTCCCACCAGTGCATCCTGTTTGGGCTAGATGAGCTCAGTGTTTGTTGAATGAATGAATCAATAGTACTGTGCAAATAATTACCACAATATGATTTATTTGTATCAAGAATATGTATTTGTGTGTGTGTTTATCATGGATTGTAAGCAGTAGGCTACTTGCAAAGTAAGAATAATTCCTATCAAAAAGATTTGAAATAAACCCCCTAATTTCTATCTTATACTTTGTGAGTTTGGAAACCAGACAGCTATACTTGTTAATAGTTTATGAAAGAGGGGAAGGGTATAGCTCAGTGAAAGGGTGGTAGAGTGCGTGCCTAGCATGCATGGCATCCTGGGTTCAATCTCTAGTACCTCCATTAAATAATAAATAAACCTAATTACTCCTCCCCACCAAACAAAACAACAACACAAAATTTTATGAAAGGAAGAAGTCATACCCTGGAATAAACTTTATAAGAAATATGCAGGATCTTTAAGAAGAAAATTTTAAAATGCCAGTGAGGGTATTCAGTTGTCCAGACTCATTGAACTGAACTCTTCTTAAGATCTGTACATTTTCTTTAAGTGAAATTCTACCTCAATTTTAACAAAAAGGTAAAACGTGCAAAGGAGGAGATACAAGATGAGTGTATTAAGTGGAAATACTTAGGGTATTTGGATGGGAAGATGCAACAGCATGAAGATGTCAGTTCTCTCTTAGTTAATTAACAAATTGAATACCACCCCAATAAAATTTTAATAATATACATATATATACAAGCTGAATAAGCTGATTATAAAACTAACATACAAAACATAAGTAATGAATTGTCAGGAAAAAGAAGAGAAATGACAGTGACTAACACTGGCATATATTGACATATTATAAAACTATAGTAATTAGAACAATGGGGTACTGTCACAAACTGTTAGTTCAGTGGCATAAAGTTTAACGTCCAAAAATAGACCCAGTTGTAGATGGGAATTTAGTAAATACTGCATTTCAAATTTATGGAGAAAATACAGAGAACTCAATAAATGTTATTGGAATTGGGTAGACATTTAGAAAACAGTTAAGTTGAATCCATATCCTTTTCTTTATGCCAAAATAAATACCCATTGGGTTAATGACTTAAATGTGAAAATGAAACCCATGGGTGAGGATAGAGATGAAATAGATTAACATGAGTAGATAAGTGGTTCAAGCCTGTGATGGGTGCATGGAGCGTTGTACTATTCTGTATACATTGCATATTTAAAATTCTCATGTGATTAAAAGTTTAAAAGATGAAATTAATAAAAACACTAGAAATAAACATGGAATTTAAAAAGTAATCTTAGAGTAAATGTCTAAATATGACAGAAAACCTAGAAGCCGTAAAAGATTGATACATGGCCTTTTACTTTATTCATTTACTTATTCAACAGACATTCAGCACCTTCTTTAAAAAAAAATAACAGTTAGCAAAATGAGGTAAGAAATGAAAACTGGGAGAAAATTTTCTACCTTACATTACCGAAAAGGCCTAATTTTCTTAGAATGTAATGATATTCTACAATTCCATTTAAAAATTATCCTACAAGTCTATTAAAAAAAGAAAATATTCACAACTTGGCTCAATATAAAATAAATACAAATTAAGACTGCACTTAATCTACATCTGCTAGATTGGCAGAGATCAAAAGGTTTTGATAAGACTGAGTTGGTGAGGGTGTGGGAAACAGGGACCCTCAGCGATGGGTGGCATTGGTGTAAGTGGGTACCACTCCTTTGGAGAGTAAGTTGGCAATATCTGTCAAAGTAAAAATTGTTCTTACTACGTCTAGGAATTTATCTTACAGATAAAACTTGACATATGCAAAACGATATATGTACAGGGATAGTTGTTGCAGGATTGTTTATGGTAGCAAGAGATACGGAAACAACCTAAATGTTCATCAGTGTGTTGAGGGGAAGGAGAGTATCTCTTTAATGGGGTATGCTGCAGCCTTGATAAATTATGAGGCAGCTCTTATACTGATTTTGAATGATTTTAAGTATATTTTTTAAGAGAAGAAAGTAAGGCGTTAGAACACAGCCTATTCTGTGCCATTATCTGTATGCAAAAGTTTACACACACATCTCCACATGCACACGTATGGAGACAATTTCTGGAAAGATACACAGGGTACAAATTCTCTGGGGAAGAACTAGGTAGCTGGTGGATGGGGTTGGGAGGAGACTTATTTCTTACTCTGTCCATATGTACTTGGAGAATTTCGTATTGCAAGTATGTATTACTCACTCTTAAATGATTTTTTTTTAATTGAAGTACAGTCAGTTACAATGTGTCAGTTTCTGGCGTACAGCACAATGTCCCAGTCATGCATATACATACAGATTTTTTTTTTCAGTAAAGTTTTTTTTTCCCCCTTTTAATCCATGCGCTTTGGAGTTCCAGCCCCTGTGCTCTCTAGTGAGTGCGTCGTGAAACTTGGAGCGTGGCTTCTGGGGCTGCTCTGGGGCTGCTAAGAGGCCGTTCTGTTGTGCCTCCCTCGCAGGCATGTTCTAGAAAGAGAACCCGTTGCTAAACAGCTGCATGCTGGTTGACAGGTGGTACTGTGTGCCCAACTAGTGCTCACTTCTTGGTGCTGTTTAGGGGCAGATTTCAACCCCAAATTTTCTCCTGTTTTTATTAATTAATTAATTAATTTATTTATTTATTGCTTTTTAAAAATCTTAACCATTCTTTATTATTTTTTTGATTTCTCCTGTGTTTATGATGTTTAACTAGATTTGTGAAGAACATTGGAGAGCAAACTTATCCATCCCCCCACCCCACCCTACATCACACAGAGAGATGTTACAGTTAACATGACACCAGGACCAAGTGTCAGGCGAAGTCTTAAGATAAGTGGACTTTCAGCTGTTGACGCAAACTTTCTTCTCCCAGAAGTCAGGCTGACCAGAGCTTGGCCCTCAGCTCTGGCTGACTAGCCACATGCTCTGGGCCTGTAGCCTAATCTCTCAGAGTCCTCCTGGATTATTGTGAGGATAAGAGGAGATGATGATGATGACAGACCGGTGACAGCTAACATAGCGCTTCCTGTGTGACTGACACTGCATTCAGGGTTTTATGTGCTTCGCTCATTTCATCCTTGGGTTTTTTTTTCCTCTTTAGTTTTTTTTTGGGAGTGGGTGGTAACTATGTTTATTTATTTCTTTACTTTTACTAGAGGTACTGGGGCTTGAACCCAGGACCTTGTGCATGCTGAGCATGTACTCTAACCACTGAGCTGTACCCTCACCCCCGTCATTTCATCCTTAACCACAGGGTAGTAAGAAGATGCATCCACCCTCCCCCCCCCCTTTTTTTTTTAACAGATGAGGAGACTGAGTCTAAGAGAGGTTATGTAATTTGCTGAGAATGCACAGCTGGATATTGGTGGAACCTGAATTTTAACCCATCTCCGCTCCAGAGCTCCGTGCTCTAGCACTGCCCCCCCACCCCGTGCTTTCCACCGTGTGTGCACTCAGTAGGTGCTCACTGTGTATCTGTTCACTTCTCTCCCTACAGTGATGGCAGCCAACTGTGAGTGAGATTATAGCTGTGACCCAAAGTCACAATCCAGTGTCTTTGAGGACACTTAACAAATATGAAACACATAGAAGTACTGATAAAGGGCAGATTTTCTCTCTCTCTAGACGAACGAACTTGTGTTGAGTTTGGAAGACGATGACAGACTCCTGCTAAGGGAAGATAGCACCCTGAAAGCCGCTGGAATCGGTGAGAAAGAGCATGTGTGCCGCGGAGAGCTGGAGGGGGCACTGGCTTTCCCAGGCTGTGTGGCGATGCCTGACTGATTATATTTGGATAAATTCCTGCAAAGTAAATGCTACCCTTGGCGCTCTTTACACAACCTGATAATTATTCAGAGGAGGAGGACGAGAATGATGTACATTCCGATCATTTGACTGAGGGCAGTAGATATCTGCTCTCCAAACGTTCAGAATGCAAATCGTTCTTTCCAGAAGGTATGCTCAGAATTCTGCTGAGGGTTATTGTAAGTGATTGACAGGTTATTACTCACTTAATAACCTCCCTACTCTTATCAGCATCATTTGAACTGATAGTATGAGAGAAATGGACCTGGTAGAACTAATGTGGAATAATGAAGTGAGGGGTTGTTTGTATAACATGCAGCGTGGTTTCTGATAATCATCGAATCACTCTGGGCTGACCAAGTCATGGAATCCCGAATAGGAGCCTAGTGTGGGCAGTTGAAAAATTGCCTGATTCAGCCTTTCAACCTGGAATATGCATGTAGTTTTATTTTAAAGAAATGCTGTGTGACATATTTTGTGACCATTAGATGTCACTCTAATTCTACTTAAATGTACACTTACGGATATGTGGCAGTTGGATGAAGATTTTGAGAGAGGTGTGGGCAGCTGAAGGCATACATATGTCTCTGACATACTTTGGTGGTCAGTGACTCTAATGAAACAGCACAAATCACACTTACTTTATAATTTTTTATATGCACTGGTTGAAGAGCACGCTGCGGTTCGTAAAGGTCCATAGTTTTTTTTTTTTTCAGGTGTTTTATTGAGTTATTTTAATCACATATCAGGAATTCATTTTTAAATGGCATGTATTGTGGCTAAAGTAAGTTCTTTTTTAATATCTTCCAATTTAAATAGGATTTTACATTTCATGATGTATGTTAAGTCAGATCATTATATTATACACCTTAAACTTGTACATTGCTGTATGTCAACTATATCTCAATAAAACTGGAGGGAAAATTGCAAAAAAAAAGGATTTTAAATAGCGTTACATAGTTTTCTGTGTCTTTAAGTCTATACTATTTCTGTGTCTGTAAGTCTATATTATTGGCTAGATTTAATGTCTTTCTATATTGTGAATGCATAAGATCGATGACTCTTATTTGAAAAAACAATTTTTAATTTGGCATTTACTTCTTCAGTTGGTATTATATTACTATAGCAGGTGACACTGAACAACTGCTTGTTGTTAAGCATAAAATTATTCTGAGTATAATTGGCTGGTATTGATGTGGGAATTGACAGCTCCACAGAAAAGACTGAAAAATCCAAAAAACAACTAAAAATTTTTTTACAGTATGATAAAATTTTGACATCTCAAATAAGCGGGGAAAGGAGTGGATTGGCCAGAAAATTATGTCGGACCCATTGCCAAAACATTTGGGAAACTAAAATTTAAGTTCTTATCTCAGTCTTTATTCCAAAATAAAATTCATATGGAGTACATGTTATAATGTAAAAAAAAGTGTTTAAGTACAATGAAGTAGTTTCATAATCTTGGAAATGAGAAGAGCTTTCTAACCATGACCTTGAAGGCAGAAACTGTAAAGCAGGGAGAAAGGATAGACTTGATCACATAAAGAGAGTTAAAGGGGAAGCAGTAAACTATGAAAAAATATTTGCAGTATATGTGACAAATAAAAAGTTATTAGCCTGACTTGATAAAAAGCTCTTAGAATTAGAATTAAAAAGATAAATAAATTCTACTGGTAGAAGAAATAGCTAACATATGAAAAATAGTTCAGCCTTATTAGTAAGAGAGAAATGCCCATGAAAATAGATACTATTTGTGTAGTCTGCTACTCTGGTGGTTAAGAATTAGAGGCTGGCGTCAGAGTGCTTGGGTTCATAACTTGACTCTGCTGCTGACCGGTGACCTCAGACAAGCAGTCATTATGAGATCAGCAGTCGTGGAGAACAGTGGTAGTATCCGAGGGAGGGCTAGGAAATGGATATTCTCTTGCACTACTGTTGGGACGGTGTATTATTACCTCTAATTTTCTGCAGGTCGATTTGACCACTAAGACTTTCTCAAACTTCTTAACTCTCTGTCCTATCTGTTACCAAGCCAACAGGGATATGCTTCCACTGCTCTGTAGGTCCCCTGAGGTTGGGATATGCCTTCAGGGGGATGGTGGGGTTCTCTCTCATCTTCCCTATTTGAGAATCATTAATTTAAAGCTTTATTTATTGAATGGAAGTAGACTATTGCAGGATACCATTATTATTTAAAAATGTATATATGTATGTGTCTATATATGTATCTGGAGAAGAGATCATACGCAAAAATTATAGAAATGGTTTCTCTGGGTGGTAATTGATTTTTTTCCTTTCTTCTATTATCTAATTGTTCTTGTAATTTAAACTTTTTTCTACAAGTTACATGTATTACTTGTAAATTAAGGACCCAATTTTAGGGAATAAGCTACTGAATTTGGAGAAAATTGTTTTGAATGAAGGCTCTGCATTTTGCTTGCTCTGTGACCTTCTGGAAGCCATTTTTAGCCTCTCTGAACTTCTATTTTGATTTCTGTAAAACAAAACGGAAACAATTAAACCTGTTTCAGAGGGTTGTCTTAGGGTTGAGTAAAAGAATGCATATGAAAGCATCTGGAGCAATGCATGTCAGGGCTCTCACAAATGCTTAGTTTATTTGGAAACCATTTTGGAGAAGACAGTTGGCAAATGTTTTGAATTTTTTAAAACATCAAGGTGTCAGTTTCATTGTCATTACTTTCAGACTGATGTAACGAACCACCTATGAAAGTGGAGAATCAAGTCTCTCGTTCTGTCATTCTTGTTTTAAGGTCGTGAGTCTTGGATCAGAATCCGATCCTTTTCACGGGCTCCCCGCAAGTTTCGAGAGAGCCCTCCTGCCCTGGCAAGCCCGCAGCCCTGGTCAAGGGGGACTTCAGGCCCTGTTGGGGGGCTGATCTCTCCTGCACGTTCCCCTTTGTTGCTGAGGGCAGTTGCCACACCCTGGAGAACAAGCCACAGTTATTATATATGGGGAAGGAGGTGATGGTCCCTGGAGAGCAAAAAAAATCCTAAGTGGGAGAGGAGTCGTAAAAGTGATACTTGAGGTGCATGATTTTTCTAGGGAATTTTCCCTCCCTTGGTGCTGTGCTCGTTAGGTTCTTAAGAGATTTAAGAGAAAAATTCGAAGTCATCCCTCTCTCGCTTTTTACCACTTGATCTTGCTGTAGAGCTGTCACTCTGCTATCACAGCCAGTTGCCATGGGAATAATGCCATTGTAACAAATGTATCATTATGACTTTTCTGTAAAAATCATGAAAGGGGAAAGAAGGACTGTGAGGGGAGAAATTAGGCGAACAAACTTGTTTGAAGATTTCTTTTCTCACCGAGAAATTCTCTGGCCTTTTATCTGCATTGCAGATCTCAATTGTATATTCTATGCCTGACGTCAGGGGAAGTTTTTGCTTGGGGACTTAGTTCTAAAATACACAAGTAAAAAGATTTACTTTGTGGAAGGAAGAAGAAGGCTTTCTCTAGAATTGTTATTTATAATGTGAAGATTTTTATCTTGTTCTTAACAATTGTAGTTTTATGGACTGATTCCCCCAGGTAATACATTTGCATGTTAAATAATTTGGGGGTAATATTTTTTCTCTTTCACTTTGCCACATTCTGCTGCTGTTCTTTTGAATCTTCTCTGGTTTAGGAAAGAAACTGGGGCAGAGTAACTCTTCTAAAGCCAGTTGTGTTTTATAGGAAATATTTTAAAACAAGACACAGTGGGCCCAACCATAAGTGCTTATCTGTGGGAAGAGTTTACATCAAGCCAGATCCTGTAATAATTCCCAAACTCTGGTGGTTGGTTTTCATTTTGCGTGTCACTGCTGTCATCCCCACAACCAGAACCTGGTCTCTGTGTCCTGCAGCTCCTGAGGATCTTGGATGGACAGGTCATATTGTAGGATTCCTTGGCTGCCACTTTTTAAAAAACCAGGACCATCTTTGAGTTGTGTTTCCTGAAGGTTAGTTCCCTTTCCCTTTCTTTTTTGGGTAGTAACATCCCGGGGAATACCTGCTCTCCTTTGACAGTGAGTTAAGGCGGCTGTTAACGTTAACATCGTAGCAGCGATTGTCTGGTACCTGCTAACCCAGGTGGTCGTCCCAGGATCCCAGAGCGGGGGGGTCAGGTTGCACCTCCCAGACATGATTCTTCCCTTTTTACACACCTTCACTGTGGAAATCCACTCTGTGGAAATCACAGTGTCCGGTCTGTCAAAGGTCAGATTCATTTGACTGTTTGTTTTCCTCAAGCTATAGTTTGAAATCATCACTGCCAGCTTGAAAGCAGATGCTCAAGCCATTGTGAGCTAAAAGGCACAGTGGTTGGGAAGTATTTGTTGGACTGTTGACCTCCTTGGGTGAAAAGTTAGAAATATAACTCAGCTGTGGGTATGGTTTTGAACGATTTGTAGATTAGGATTTTGTGACACTTGCAGGGATGGGATATAGTCCAGGAGAGAGGATGAAACTTAGTCGTTTTGGTCTCAAATTGCTACAGAAACCGCATCTTGCCTTTTTTTTTTTTTCCCAAAACCTGCAATTAGCACATTACAGCCTACCCTGTGACAGCCTGCCCTGATCATTAATTATCTGTACTGAAGTCAGTACACACATTTCAGGCTCTTTCCTCAGACGACAGTTGCTGTGCTCACACCACTTGGGTGCCGACTAGTACAGGGCTAGGGATTTGGAAACTGTACAGTCAATCCTTGTTGATAGGTGAGCTTATCGAAGTAAATTGGTTGAAGAGTTTAAGTACATTACACTTCATTTTTTTTTTTGAGATTTTACATTTAAAATCTGTTTTTAAAAAATATGTTTCAATTTGAAGTCATTACTATAATTTTCCTATTCAGGGTTTATGTGTGTCATAGTGGAAACATTATAAAATTCTTAATTATTCATTTCATATCCAACATCGGAATGTCCTGGCTTGTGTTCATTTCATTAAACTTGAAAGTCAGTATTAAAATGATCCACAAATGGGTTTGGAGGGGTCTTCCCTGATTTCATTTGATAGACAAAGGGATGAGCTGGCAGTGTATTTATTGGATTTGAGATTGCACGTTCATTTCAGATTCACATACCAGGGCACTATGCACCTCAGTGCACTGCTGCCTGCAGCACATTTAATTTAAAATCAGGTGCCTTAGGGGACCCACACACGGTAGACATCCTGGGGGTTCTTCCGGAGCCATTTTACATAGAATTTGGGAAGCAGGCATTTAAGGGCTAATGGTAGAAAGGATGATTATGTAGAGGTCTTGAAAATCTTTCGTAATTTGTTTTCATTTTAATTGGCAAGTAAATTTGCAGCCTAAGTACGCAAAATCATTCTCTCAAACATTTTCAACAGAGTTTTATAGCTTTTCAAAACATTATATTCTGTTTCTGTGAGGACCACATTGCTAAACTTTAAAAGCCATTTTATGTCTTACTTTCAAATGTTCTGAGCAACTAACTCTTCATTTGTGTGTTGTTCTCCAGTTCGTTAAGGGTGAAAAATGTTATCCACCTGGAGCATGTGAGTTTAACCCACTTATCAGTTTAGGTTTCCAGAAAAAAATTCATTCACCTGAAAATAAAATCTTTACCTTAGATGATCTCATTTTGAGCCTGTATTATAGGTATCATTTAAATAATGGATTGATCCATAAGTTCATTAGACCCAAGAGAGCTTAACATGTCAAAACAAAAATGCTCGGTCAATTCTTCCTTTACATCTGCTTATTCTAAACCTATTATTGCTGTACAGAAGAGCTGTACGATGTGTTAGTTTCTCAAAAAGGGTGCAGATAAATGTCAGCTGCAGTAAGTGAACGTTGTAATTACAGTTAGTGCTCATTGAGCGGAGTCTGTGTGGGCAAAGTGCTATGTAAAGTTCTGTATGTAAATAGCACATCGTGGATGAAACCTTGCATTGTGATTATTAAGAACAGGGTGCTTTTGCTCATTCTCCATTAGGAGGAGGATATTAGAATCACTTGCAAATGATATAGGTCTACCTCTGGGGTTGTTTCCTTTCAAAAAAGGAAGCCTCAGGAGCTTTTATATAAAGGACAGATCTCAAAATGTCTTCTCTTTGAATATTGAATTTTTTGAAGCCCCCTTTTCAACATTTTACTGATTCAAAGTGTTTTTACTGATTCCAAGTGTAGAGCCTCTTAGCCGTTCTTTTAAATGCTATGTACTTTCTTTTGTTTTTTTTTTCTTTTTAATTCTTAATAGTCAGTTTTCAATGTTAGTTTCAGGTGTACAGCCAAGCAATTCAGTTATACATATACATACATACATTTTTTTTTAGATTCTTTTCCATTATAAACGATATTTTCTTGTAAAAATTAACTGTACATTAACTCACTATTTGTCCAGGGTGCCTTTGTTTACACTCGCTCTCATTGATTCCTGGTTTTTTTTGGCTGTGTCTCATGCCCCACACCCAGACTCACTGTGACAAGAGTTTGTAATCTGATTTTCATCAAGATTAATCTTCATTTAATCTTGAAGCTGTTCAAGGACTGGAGTGAGATTCTGAGACTATGGGTGATTTATTTTCTGCTTTCCACATTTCTGTGTTTTCTGTAATAAGCACGGGTAATTTAGTATTGAGAAATTAGTAATTTCATATTCTTAAAACCAGCAAAAACATTTTTTTAATGAAATGTCACGCTAAAGCTCTTTAATTTCATTCTTCTGTGATAAATTCTAATGATGAGATATGAGAGTTGTAAACTAGGTGACTGGTAGTAATCTTTGGCATCCTTCCTTATTATCCTATTTATTTGGCTAGAAGAGTTTTACTTGTCTGTTTTTAAAGGATATGTTAATTGAGCAATCAGTATTCATTACAAATAATCTTGTCTGTTTTCTTGTCAAGAGTCTGAAGGCCCTTTTGCTCTTTCTGTAAAAGCTAAGCAGACTGTATTAACTTCTGATTTAATTTAAAAAACGAATGTGAAACTTGTTGGCGCAACACCTTAAAGAATTGCATGTTTAATAATTGGAAGGCTTTCCATCAGATTTGTCTCCAGTCTGAATTAATAATGTTGCTGACTTATTGTTTTAGAAGACAGAGTCCTTGACCTGCTAGGTTGAAAGAATTGTGACTGCTCTGAACCTTTGTGGGTCCTTTAGCTGTGCTACATCCCCTGTGAATAATTAGAGGTATTTGAAGGTATTGCGGTGGAAGCCAATTTGTGTCTTTCACTTTGCATATTGTTGAAGCCTCATGAATTAATCATAAGCAGGCAAAAAATTAACTTCTTCAGACACATATTTTGATGGGTCATGAGGGAGAATGTAAAATGATCTGTAAAATATTCTACTGATCCTCTAAGTATTAAAGTATTATACCTACAGGCTAATTTCAGAGGAAAAAAAGAGAGTTTTTCTTCCTCCTTCAGTAACTGAATAGCAAACTGGAAAAAAAATAAAGGTTTATTATTTCTGGGACTGTTAAGAAGACTGTAATGAGCAATTTTACGATTTCCGGAAAACCAGACTCTTGTGTTAATTCTTGTTTTTAATTTTGGAGTTCTTCCTTTTTTTATTTTTAAATGGGTTGAATTCTTGACTCTTATAACTACTACTTGTACTTCTTGTTGATTTTTGTGAAATGTGAAACCAAATAAATAACTGATCTTTCTCCCGTTAGGCATCTAAAGCACTGAATCAAAGTTATATGGATTACCATACTTGTTTAAAATCTAGTTTTACATTAAAATTTCTTTTCCATTCTCTATAGTTCTTTTTTTTTTTTTCCCAGCCAATGAAACTGAAATTGCATTCTTCTGTGAAGAAGACTATAAGAACTACAGAGCTAATCCCATCTCATCCTGGTGAAAACCTCACAGGGGCTTCCTTTTTGCATACTTGTATTAAGCTCTTTATTCCACTGGTGAGTTTTTGAAATTGACAAATAAACTTAAAAAAACAAAAACAAACTAATCCTAGGCTCTGCCACTTGAAGTAAAATCTGTGGTGTTTTCTCTCTTCTGCAGGTCTCATTTTTTCATTCTTGTAAAAGAATATATTTATGGAAAACACATTTGATTTTTTTTTTTGACTGAAAGAAATAGTTATTCAGAAATTAGCATGGAGTTTTGGTTCTTTAGTCAATTTGTTTTTCTGAAATTAGGGGTCATTTTGGTGACCTGAATGTTGGATTCTTTAAAGAGTATAAGGCTAAGGTCATTCTTTTTATTTTGTTTTCTCCGTGGTTTCTAATTAGAGCCCCTGTTACTATCTTAGGCTAGCAGGGATTTTAAGAGTCTCTCGTGACCATGAATGCCATCTTGTCACTCACCGTGATATACACCACCACACAGGAGATTGAACTGGGTGTATTTTAGGGAGGTTTTCTGATATAAGAGGGTTACTTCTTTCTTTTCATATTTCAACCTACACAAATAGCATCGCCAAAATGTGTTTTTCTGAGCTATGTTTCCTGACTTCAGGAACAACCTATAATAGAATCAAACTCATTTATTTGGAGAGAGAAGGTGGCAGGATGTTTGCACTTCTGGAAGAAAACTGTTCATTGAGAACAAGTCTAAGTAATGGACAATACATTCTTTCAAAATAATGTAATACTTTAATGGCTGACTGCCAGCACCTGAAGGGTAGTGGATTCAGGAGGGCCTCTCAGCCAGCATGCATCTAATGAGAACTCTGAGAGAGGTTAGTTGGCTCTAGAACTACTCCATGAACCTTTAAAATTGTAGGGCAAATTGGTTTCATTGTGGTGGAGACTAACTTAAGAAAGCCTATTCTTAAAAAAAAAATCAACCTTGAAAGTCTGGTTAACGTAACTAGAAGATATGTTGCTTTGTTGAAAGATTGAATACAGCCTTGTTTACAATGACTTTTATTTATATTATTCATTGTTTCTTTCCTTAAAGTGCTGAATGAACAGATAACGTAGGCTCCTCGGGAGTTCATAAAGAATAATAAGACAGAGTTTTTCCTTCAGTGAGTGCGGAAAGATATAAAAGCAAGTAATTTTGATGTAATAGCAGTGCAGACTGCTATGGAAGCATTGACAACGGGGTAGTTAATTCTGTGTGGATTTGTTTTTATTTTAAAAGAAGTACCAGTTGAGCTTTGTTTTAAAATATTGAATAGGAATTTTTGCGTAGTAGAAATAAGGGAAAGGGATTTAGGAAGAAGGAACAGCATGTGTAAAGGCAAAGCACAGTGAAGGAGCTTAGGGTTTTCATAGAAAGCACATCTTTCAAGGTGCTGGAGTGTAAAGTACTTGGAGTAGAAGGTTGGTTGAGGTCAGCCTCTTAAATCATTGCCAAGGAGTTGGAACTTTATATAGTAGGTAGGTGGGAGCCAGTGGAAACATCTAAACAGGTGACATTATTAGATTTCTATTTTAGAAAGTAAGCTTTGGCTTACAGTGTCCAGATGGCAGAAAGAATAGAGGACAGTTGTCATAGACCAGGTGAAGCCTAGAAGGGATGGGGGAGGACAGGAGACCTTGTTGAGATAGTGCTAACATTTGGTCAGGCATTCAGTGGCAGGCATTGTGTTAGGTACTTTACATGTGTTATCTCATTTAATTTTTATCACACTCTTTAGTTTTGATAGTGTCATATTTATTTATAGATGAGGAAATGGGGGCTCAGAGAGATAAAGTAACTTAGCCAAGGCAATGCAGTAATGTGCATTGGGATTGGAACCAGGTCTGTTTAAATTCCTGACCTTGCCCATTCCATCCTGTGGCCTCCCCAGGAGAGATATGAGGTAGAATGACTGGTAGAACCTTTGGGACTGGTGTGGAAAGTAGAGGAGGAGGGATGGACACTTCAGTGGTTCTTGCTGGAGTGAGTGACTGCATTGATGACAGCATCAACCCCAGTAGAGAATTTAGTAAATACAGTATCAGGTTAAGAAAAAGCATATTCCATTTGAGTATTTTGCAAACATTCAATTTATGCATGGTTTTCTTATTTAAGAAAAATTAAGCATACCTTTACCTGTATATTTTCTGTTTAACAAATAATGCCAAAATATGTACATAGGCATAATGCTTTGTTTTGGCGTGTATTTATTTTCCTTATTAGAAAGTTACATATAGGACTATTTCACTCAAACACAGATGTAAAAAAATAAAAAAATAAAATATATTGTGACTAAAAAGAGCTTTTACAAGGAGTGAAGAAAGATTGGTTCAAACATAGAAAACTTATCAGTGTACATAATTCACAAAGTATGTAAAGAAGAAAGAAATTATGCTATCTGAATAGATGCCAGAAAAGCATTTGATGATGTGCAATCCCTTGCATGAATAAAAACTAAGAATAGAACAGAATGCCCTTAATCTGATGAAGGTCAACCACAGAAAACCTACTAATGGAGAAGTGCTTAAGCAAACCTACGAGATGAAAAGGACAAGGAGGACCACTATTATATTCAGAATTGTCCTGCCAGTCTTATTGTAGCCAATGCAATAAGAAAAGTAATGAGAACCACAGACGTTGGAAAGGAGGAGACAAAACATTCATTTGCAGACAGTATGACTGTAAGAGAATCAACTGACAAGTTATGAGTCCTAATAAGAGACTTCAACAGTGTTTGATAATAAACTTGAAATGTGCACAAAAGCTATAAAAATGTTACTAGAGGATATAAAAGACCTAAATAAAGAGAGAGATACTACATGTTCATAGAAGGAAGCTTTGGTGTGGTAAAGGTGTAGAGTTATACCTAATCTGTAATTTAGTGCAACCTCAGTCAAAATCCCAAAGGACTTATATTGGAATTTGACAATCTGATTTTAAGATTCATTTGGAAAAGTAAATGTGTAAGAATAGCCAAGATCAATTTGGAGAAACAAAAAGAAAGCGGGATTGCCTACCAGATGTCAAAATATATTTTAAACCTGTAGTAATTAAAACAGCTAGGTTGTGATACAGAAATAGACCAACAAAATCAGTGGAGTAGATTAGAGTAGAAACTGACTGATGTATATGGAAACTTAGAATATAATAAAGGTAGTGTTTGTAATCAGTGGGGAAAAGAAGGATATTTAGCACCTGGCTAGGCATTAAAAATATAATTAAGAACACTACTTCCTACCATTCACTAAAATTTCAGTTGGAGTAAATAAGCATGCAAAACAAGATGATAAACTTACTAGAAAAAAAGGATTGTTTTTATGACCTTGGAGTAGAGATGGCCTTCTTAAAACACGACATACAGATAGCATAATTTGCTGAATTTGATGTATCTACATAAAAAACTGAATTCCCCCCCCCCCAAAATTATAAACAGGTTGAAAGACAAGTGAAGACTGGGAAAAATTTCTTACACTTAGAAGGTAGACAGAGGATTAGTTTCCAAAATATGTAAAGAACTCTTATTATAAGTCAATAAGAAAAGGATGAACCTGAAACAAAAATGGGCATATATTGTAAAAAACAAATTTGTAAATAAAACAAAACAAAACAAAACATATATGGCTTATAAAAATGTGAAAAAGATGCACATCCTGTTATTCAAGGTAATTAAAATAGCAGTATCATTTTCATTCATCAAGTTGGCAAAAAGAAAAGGGTTTGGTAACAAGTATTGGCAGTGATGTGTGCCCGCACTGCCAATGGGAGTATAAATTCATGTACAGTCAAACTCAGCAAGCAATTTGGTGTGGTATGTATTTAAATAGCAAATGTGTGTTTTCTATTGGCCCAGCAGCTCCAATTCCTAAAATTTGTCCCAAAGAAATCCTCTCAGGCCTACAGAAGGAGGCATGTATAAGGGAATTCATTGCAGTCTCATTTATAGTAAAAGAAAAAAAATGCTGTGAACAACCTAAGTGATGTCAGTAGGAAAGTAGCTAAATAATGTTTGGTTTATCTATATTCTGGGTTACTACTTAATATAAAACAATGAGAGACATTCATGTGTCTGATATGGGACAGTCTGAGTCATCTTGATGAAATTTAGAGGGACTCATAAACTAATGTCATTTGTTTAAAAAGCACAAAATGATTATATATATAGATATATAACGTGTATATCTATGCGGGTATATGAATACACACATTGTGTACACATATATACATATACACAAAAGAACACACACCGAATTGATAACATCAGTTACCTCTGGGGAGGAGACTAGAACTGGGAGGCAAAGGTGGTGAATGGCTGTATCTGTAATGTTGACTTTACAAGGAGAATGTATTTGTCTTAATTAGTAAAACCTGATGCATGTGTAGAAATTGAAAGAAGCAGGAAAAAAAAAACCATGAGGTAATTGCCATTAACATTTTGGCATATTTCATTTGGGTTGTTTTTCCCACATATTTTTTTTAATGTTTCTCATCTTTTTGGTGTGTTTTAAGTTAGATGACTAATATCTACTCATTAAAGACAACCAACTCTAAGGTTAAAAAGTAAAATTCCCCTTCAGCAGTCACCTCTTTGCATGGCTTGGTTTATGCTTTAAGAGTTTTTTTTTCCTGTACATATAATTGAAATGTGCATTTTATTTTATTTTTAAGCAACTTTATTTTGGTGTAATTTCTGTACAGTAAACTACACGTATTTCAGGTGTACAATTTGATGAATTTTGAAAGTTGTATATACCTATGGAACCACTACCACAATCAAGATAGCTAACATTTTCATCACTCCCCAAAAGGTGCAAATTTTGAACTCCCAGTTTATCCCTTCCAACCCTCTTCCCCCCGGTAACCATAAGTTTGTTATCTATGTGAGTCTGTTTCTGTTTTGTAAAGACACATTTGTGTCTTTTTTTTTTTAAGATTTCACATATGAGCGATATCATACTGTATTTTTCTTTCTCTTTCTAGCTTACTTCACTTAGAATGACAATCTCTAGGTCCATCCATGTTGCTGCAAATGGCATTTTATTCTTTTTATGGCTGAGTAGTATTCCATTGTATAAATATACCACATCTTCTTTATCCAGTCATCTGTCCATGGACATTTAGGTTGTTTCTGTGTCTTGTCTATTGTAAATAGTGCTGCTATGAACATTGGGATGCAGGTGTCTTTACTTTGCCCAGGAGTGGGATTGCTGGATCATATGGTAAGTTTATTTTTAGTTTTTTAAGGAACCTCCATACTGTCCTTCATAGTGGCTGCACCAATTTGCATTCCCACCAACAGTGTGGGAGGGTTCTTTTTTCTCCACAGCCTCTCCAGCATTTATCATTTGTGGACTTTTTAATGATGGCCATTCTGACTGGTGTGAGGTGATACCTCACTGTAGTTTTGATTTGCATTTCTCTAATAGTAAGTGATATTGAGTATCTTTTCATATGCCTGTTGGCCATCTGGATATCTTCTTTGGAGAAATGTCTATTTAGATCTTCTGCCCATTTTTTGATTGGGTTGCTTGCTTGTTTGTTTGTTTGATACTAAGCTGTGTGAGTTGTTTGTATATTTGAGAAATTAGTCCTTTGTCCATTAATCATTTGCAAATATTTTCTCCCATTCTGTAGGTTGTCTTTTTGTTTTGTTGATAGTATTCTTAGCTGTGCAGAAAACTTTTAAGTTTAATTAGGTCCCATTTGCTTATTTTTGCTTTTATTTCCATTGCTTTAGGTGCTGGTTCAGAAAAATACTGCTGTGATTTATGTCTAGGAGTGCTCTGCCTATGTTTTCCTGTAGGAGTTTTACAGTATCAGGTCTTACATTTAGGTCTTTAATCCATTTTCACTTACTTTTGTATATGGTGTTAAAGAATGTTCTAATTTCATTCTTTTACAGGTAGCTGTCCAGTTTTCCCAGGATCACATATTGAAGAGACTCTTTTCTCCATTGTATATTTTGCCTCCTTTGTCATAGATTAATTCACCATAAATGTGTGGGTTTATTTCTGGACTTTCTATCCTGTCCCATTGAGCTATGTGTCTGTTTTTGTGCCAGTACCATACTGTTTTGCATACTGTAGCTTTATAGTATAGTCTGAAGTCAGGGGACATGATTCTCCCAGTTTTGTTCTCATTTTTTAAGACTGTTTTGGCTATTTGGGGTCTTTTGTTTTTCCATACAAATTTTAACGTTTTTTTTTCTCTGTAAAAAATGTCATTGGTAATTTGATAGGGATTGCACTGAATCTGTATATTGCCTTGGGTAGTATGGCCTTTTTAACAATATTGATTCTTCCAATCTGAGAACACAGTATACCTGTCCATCTGTTTATGTCATCTTCAGTTTCTTTCATCAGTGTCTGATTGTTTTGGGAGTACAGGTCCTTTGCTTCCTTGGGTAGCTTTATTCCTAGGTATTTTATTCTTTTTGATGTGATGGTAATAAATGTGCATTTTAAAGCATTATCATTTGATGTATGTATTTAATTTTTTTAAACTTTTTTATTTATTAAACATTTTTATTTAAAAATTTTTAGTGGAGGGAGGGAATTACATTTTGTTTGTTTGTTTATTTTAATGGAGGTACTGGGGATTGAACCCAGGACCTCATGCATGCTAAGTGTGTGCTCTACCCCTGAGCTGTACCCTCTCCCCTCATTTGATATATTTTAAAACGTCATTCTCTTAAATATGGTGGAGAAGTCTCATTTTCTTTTTGAATCATCGTTGTGTGCCAGACACTGCATGTGTTTTCTATATGAAGTCCTCGAGTTGGAGAGAGCTACAGGTAGCCCCTACTGTGAAACGGAGAAGATGGTGCCCACGTCACAGAGTCTTGGGGATCACGTGAGAAACAGGGGACTGAGCAGGCAGGGCCTGGCGCGAGGTGAGTGCTCGTCCAGTGCCTAATGATACTCATTGTGAGCAGCGCAGTAGCATCAACTTCATCTTGGAGCCAAACACCCTGACCCTCTCTGCTATTAAGCCACTTGTCCAAGGCCTAAAATCTGGTAAGTCAAAGAGCAGGTTTCCTCTGGCTTCACATACCTCTTTCTGCTACTCTTTGAAAACAAGGGGCGTCTGGCCTTTGGAGAAATATGGTATGAAGGTTGTCAACTACCAGCTGAGGGACTGTGTCCCATTTTTGTTGATTGACACCCCTTCTCCATGCATTTTGAACTCCACCAGCACGATGGTGGGTCTTGGGCCTCTTTGGGCCTGAGAAGTCTCCATCTCTCACATTGAACCCTCAGCATGAAGCTCATTGCCACTACCAACCTCTCACTCCACACTTCCAGCGTTTATGGGAGTTGGGGGAGGAGAGCATGGCTTTTGTCACTTTTTTTCTATCAAAGGAGATACATGTATTCAAAGAATCAGACCTGAGACCAGTTCCCCCACACCCAAATGTGCATTTTGGGTTATAGCACTAACACTGACTTTTTTTTTTAATAGGATCTTTTTTTTTTTTTACAAGGGGGAGATAACTAGGTTTATTTATTTATTCAGGTTTTCAGTGGAGGTACTAGGGATTGAACCCAGGACCTTGCGCATGCTAAGCGTGCGCTGTACCACTTGAGCTACACCCTCCCCCCAACACTGACTTTGGATAATGGCCTTTGGTGACTCATTTTTTTATCGTTAGGGAGAGGCTCATATAACGTGTAATGATTTAAAAGAAACATACAGGATGTTTGTCATAGTGCTCTACAATGTGGGTTTTTTGAGAGCAGTGACCCTACTCTATTCTGTGCTTCTGGTTCTTCCCATGAGTCTTCAGTAAATAATGTCATTCACAGGCAGCAAGATTTAAGATGGATAAAATCCATTTCAGGTCCCAGATGATGTCCTGTGACTCCTGAAATAAGTGAAGGCAAATCATTTGGGGCATGCAGACCATTTGGGGAATGCTGCCTTGATTTTTAAGCTTTTCGTTTTAGCCTCATTCCTCTTAAGTCCAATCCACAGGAAAAAAGCTGCCACCAATATAATGATATTCTCGTGGGCCATCAGTCAGCAGAGTACTCTGAAGGCTCTGCTCCTTGAACAGGGCTAAGGCAAGTGGTAAGGATGAGATCATGCAGGCTTTTTCCCCCCATTCTCACTTGGTGGGAAGTGAGAGCCAGAAAGATGGAGAGCTGTCATCTTCAATCCTCTCATTGTTAAATCCTGTTGAGTGAAAAGCAGAAATCTCATTTAATTTCCTGATCATTGCCCCTCCCTCCTTCCTATAACCCTAGCCTTGGGCCTGTGCCATCAGACTGCTAATCGCCTGCCTCCCACCCCGCTGTTGCAGCTGCAGGATCCAGTGCCAGGCCCCCCTGTTCCTTGCAAACTCAGCTCCTGGCTCCTGCCAATAATTCTCCTGTTGTAATATTGTAGAGATCAGCCTTCCAGTACCACGGGGCCCTCAGGTCACTGGCCAGCTCAACTGCAGTGTACTTACCTACTGTCTTGGCCACCTACTCTCTGCAGTAACGTTAGCCAGTCATCAGTCACCATACCCGTCCACAACTTCATCTCAGTATTCCGCCCATTCTCAAATCACTGCCT